TTATTTCTTTGAAAGAGAACAAATCAATATCGTTCTTGGGAGATTTCCCTGAGAATTTCTTCGAAAAGAGAAGAAAAATCACAGATGTATTTAAGAATTGACGTTTAGTAGTTCCCATTTAAAAAAGAAAGTATGACAGGAAGTATGCAACGTCGCAAACTGAGATACGTGGTTTGGTAGTTTCACCGTCTATATATGTATGTATTGTAGAAAGACAATGAAATTAGCGATATACCAAGACTTATCATCCAATTTCAAACGTCAATATGATACATCTGGTGACTGGTACTTATCATTGCTCACCTAGATTTTCAATGTTTATTACTTCATTTAATTTTTGATAATTATTATTTTATTTTTCATTGCAGCAAATAATGTTTGAAATTCACGAACTATATGCCTTAATCGTATCAAGTTGCTAGCGTCAGGTAACCGTTTTCATCACACATTATTATGTTACGGAGGCAAGTTTTTTGAGTGCCCTGAAAAACTGGAGAGATGAAGAACTGCTGACCAATATTCACGCTTGAAACGCCTCCTTGAAGTCAGACTGCAAGATTCGTTTGACGCTGCGTTTTTGCATAACTTATTCATTGCAGGCGAACAGAGAGAGCCGAGGACCCGATGAGATAACGTCGCACGTTCAGACAGAGCTAACAACAAGTCTTGATTCTCATACTGTGTCGACTCTGGTAAATTGGAAACACCGTTTGCATTTTGATATATTGAAACAATCGATTTTACGTAAGATAGACCGCCCTGCCTATAATCGATATTTATGATGAATTGGACTGCATTTTGCAATTCGGAACTATAAATTCCGGCCCGGTTTAAAAACAACGTATGTGCCATTAGTTTCCTTATGCACATACGTGTTTTTTTCAGATGAGCCAGAATTTATAGGTCCAAATTGCAAAATGCAGTGCAATTTAAGTGGGGAAAAACAGTGTTGCCAACTTGCAGGGATCTTCACCTGTATTGGCGCGGCTGTGATTGGCGGAAATGAATCATATCATGTCATAAGTGACCGCTAAGTTTTATCTGACTATTTTTTTATTTTTTTTTTACGCGAGGTTGTTCGAATAATTTTGAAAATGAAAGGGGATATTTTACCATCGGAAATAGGATTATAAAACACGTTAACTTTAATTATATGTTTTTTTAATGTTTTTTCAATAATATAATTCTATGAACATTAATAGACTAAGCGCTTTTAGGAGTGATACAGTGTAATGTAAGAAAGGATATGTTAGGCACTTACAAGACTGCGAACACAATATTGAAGAATTTACAGATTGAACTAATTAAAATAAACTTCTTACAGATAAAACTCTGTTTCGCTTTCATTTCGTCGTTCGATTTACAATCAATTTTTCTTTGAGACATATACAATATGTATTTACACGTTTGATTGCAAGTAGTAATGCAATGCAAGTGGCAAATTTAGCAATTTTCCAACACACAATCACACAAACTTTACATCATATTTTAGAATATCTACAGAAAAATAAAATACATTGCGTGAGTTTTTTTAGATCTAATTATGATAACAATAAAATGGAATTTAGAATTTTTTTCGTCTTATCATTCTATTTAAACTAGGGGTCGGAGGGCTTTAGAATACACTTTAAAAAAAATTAAGATACGTGATAACCGAGAATCCATAACATACAAATATTCTCTAATTTTATTTCAGTATTCTTTTTTACTGATGATAGGAAAGTATGGTTATGCATTTACGTACGCGTGCAATGAGATGCTAAACCTAAAACTGTATACTGTGGTTAATTTTCTCTCAACTGCAAATCTTTTTGCAAACTTGAAGCTCAAAATTGTCAAAATTTTCTTTACGCAAAAGTGCAAAAAATCAGATTACATCATGCTGACCCTCATAAAGGACCCTTTCCACGGATCACATAAATTTAACCGGTTTCACCTATCTAACCAGACCCTGTGTGAATTCATATTCGAAGGTAAATTATTTTCGACCCAACATGATACTTTCGTGCATTTACCCCAATAGCACAGTTACGTTTAAAAGATATTTTATTCAAACGGGGAAAAAACTAGAATATTTAGAATAACCCTTGAAATGTTTGAAGAGATAAGTTAGAGTGATGCTGTTGCGTTTTAAAGAAGATTTAAGGTAATTATGTTATCATTTTAAAAACATGCGTAAAACGTATACAAATCCTTAAAAGCTCACAGACATTTTTCACTCATTTTAAAAAATTATCCTAGAAGAACATATTCTTGAAATGTGTTTAAATTTATCAATGTACCTTTTCTTGTTTTACACTAAAAAATTTTGTGTAAAATGGAATTCCCCCTCTCCCCGAAAAAATAATATGTTTATTTTTTATGATCATCGTTTTGTTCAACATTTTAAAAGTTTTCTCAACGCCCAAGTTGCTCTCGGAGATTGCTGGAAACATTTATTATTTTCTTCAAAGTAGTGTCTTGAATATTAAAATGAAAGGTTTTTGAAATAATTTTTTTTTTTTTTTTTTTTTGTGCTGTTAGGGTAGTGACACAGCAAATACGGGGTGTCTTGGGGATTCGAAGTGTTCCCTGGTGACCCAACAATTATCCCGACATATTCTTTGCCATTAAACAGATAAACCACTCAAAATATCGATAGCTAAAGTGCGAGACCACGTATCTCTCTTTGCGTCTCTGTAAACTTCCAGTCATACTTTCTTTTTTCCTTGGAAAACTAATCAATATAATGTCTTAAACACCTCCTTGATTTTTCTTCTCTGTCAGTAGAACATTTTGTATGAATATCATGCTATAAAGTTGGATTGTTTCACTTCGGAGAAAGAAATTAGGAGCAGAGATTTTGAAACACTCCGGTGGAGCTGGAGATATGCAGTGTAGCACTTTAGTCATCGATATGTAACTTAAACGATACTATTTGGGTTTACATATTCCTCAGTAAGTACAATTTACAACTTAGCACCTTCAGTCAGCGATTCAAATTAGTTTTCGGCAGTTTTAAATTACTGGCTACAAATGGTAACTATATACACACTAACTTATGGCAAAAGAAACTCCTATATTGGTGAATACTTTGTTTTGGTTGCAAATGAGCTTTTGCCTGCTCCTTAACGTCTACTATATAGGTTAGAGCTGATTGTTGATCCATAAAATGAGGGTTACCCATAGTATTGTTCAGGCATTATCAAACGGAATAATTTCAACCTTCATTCAATTTTAAAAAGAAAAGCGTACTTTTTTTGGAGTAATTTTAATTTCACTCGAAAATTGCACGTGAATGGATAAATTTCTACTGGTAACACTGGAAACGTGTATACACCACTGAGAAAAATTATTTGTCAGGATTACGACCTAATGTTTGACACGGAGTCCCGTTCACTCAGGGTAGCTACACATGCGATGCCATGTTGAGACCAGGCATTCTCACGACAGATCCAATTCGTAAACATACTATTTGCTATGCAGACCCTCCTTGATCAAATTGATACTATGTCGCTACTGCCGCACATTGAAACGAGCCAATTGAAGAGGTTTGACATAAAATTGTTGGCTGAAATTTCAAATGTTGATGTTTATTTCGTTACAAATTCAATTTCAAGGGGTGTTTTTGAAACAAAATTTCAAGAAAAAACCGACAATGGCACCACTGTTAAACTCTCATTGCTTCATATTTTCGATAATGTAAGCTTTCAAAGTTGCCAGAATGTGTCCGACTTTTCCTATTGACTCGATCCAGTGTGCACCGTGTTATTACGGTCTTGTGATCAGTTTTTTAGATAGTTCGTTCATGTTCAATGTGAGATTTACGGTATACGGCAGAAGTACGATTGGGTAAAATTAGGAACTACTTTTTGTATCTTTTACTAAACCATTTGTATCTATCTCTTTGTGTATTTTTAATAATGAAGTTTTGAAGTAGTCATGGCTTACAAATGATATTACGATTAGGTCTAAGTAATAGTGGCACGAATTGGTAATTGGTAACTACTAAGTTCTCTCAGTGGTCAAAGTCCAGTTAAGGCTCCAAACCAGCGAGTTTTTTACTGAACATTATTCATCATGGAAACTTACACCATCGGATGAAAAATCAGCTCATTCCCAAAAAAAAAAAAATTAAAATGCACTCAATCGGTTGCAAATTATTTACAGAAGGGCAGTTGTGTTACTCATGATGAAGTCATGTTTTGATGATTGAATTCTATAGATGAGCAAGAGAAGATCTGATCTAACAGCATATAATTCTCATTATGTTCGTACGGTCTTATTCGAACAACTTTCACTTATCTATGACTTTCGATCGATAAAACATAATTTCCAAGAGCAGTAGAATCAATGGCGTGGCGTGTTTTGTAATTAATCGATTGATCTGCCATTTAAACCTATGGAAAAGAACCGATAAACAGGGTATTCGCAACAAAAACCTCCTTAATTGATTCTTTACCAGCTTTAGATGGGGAAATATCGATTATTGATTATTCACGCCTCGTCACTGAGTGCAATGGACCACTAGATAAGGTACGAATTTAAGCAATCTGATACATGTTTCTTAACCAGAATTTCACGTAAAACGCGATTCACACAACGAAAATTACTGAAACCAACTCCTAACGAAGATATTAACGTTTTTATTTCCCATTGGTTACGAGGAATTTGAACTGCCCGCTCACAAGAAACTCAAAGCTCTACGTGAGGCAAATCGTGCACTACATCGGTTTCAGCAAGCTGCTCAATCGAGCAATTTTCATTTCCCACCATGTGTTGTTCAAACTATAAGCAATTTTCTATAGCTGAGCCAAAGCGTCACGATTGAAGTTGCAAGATTTTTATATCAGAGAGACTGTCATGATAACGTTTAGCGCGCGATGTGAATCACGTAGATCATTAAGTTTTCATGAGCGGGTGGTTTGAATTCACGCATCAAGAATCATTAAATATCTTCGTAAGGAGTTGATTGCGGTAATTTTTGTTGTGCGCGTCATATTCTACGTGAAATTTTGGTTCAGTAACATATATCAGAATGCTGAAATGCGTACCTTGTCTAGTGGTCCATTGACTCATCACGTCGTTCTTAAAATGTACAGAACAATTTAGGTATTACGTTACTTTATGACCGGTTCTCAACTAATAATATCTACCATCGCATCAGTCTACTGGGTAGACTGTATCCGGTAGGCGTCTTAATATCTGGCGAATATCGGGAGTTTCTGGACGGGAGCGCTGCAGCAGAATTTGTCGATGCCGAGTTGCTCTTGGATCCAGTCCAAGTAGTTGGCTATCCTCGTGTAAACGCCGGGGTAGTTGGGACGAGCACAACCACGGCCCCAAGAGACGATCCCTGAACAAAAAAACATGGATGTATTAATTGAATTATTCGAGATAGTGACTAAGCTCAACATTTTAGACGGAGAATGACTCATACAACTTTCTCATTACTTTACTTACATTACTACCACATACTAGAGATTTGCGAGTCACTAGTGAATAAAATTGGAAAATCATTCAATTCAGAAATGGATTGCATTTTGCAAAGAGGAACCAAGGGTACTACGATGTTGCTAAGAGAGTGCGATTTTTTTTACCATGCAAATTTAAACTGATCATCTTAACAAGTTTTATCTTTTCAATATAATTTCAAATTAAAGACGAAAGTCACCTTTGCAAATTTAATTTTTTGCATGACCACGGTAATTTTATTGCAAAGAATGTAAGTTGCACGATCATTGCAACATCGGAATGCTCTTGGTTCCTTTTTGCAAAATGCAATCCAAATGAGGGACCAAGTGTAGAATGCTTCATTTTGCTTTATTGTAAATACACAATTTTTGCTCTGTAAACCATTGTCGTAAGACCAGGCACACTCTAAAGGAGCTTGTAATAAAAGCAAGACCTTGGTAGGGTTTGGATCGGATAGGCAACTAAACTAACTCTGTAACAATGCGTTGATTATCATAAAGAAATGAAACCGAACACGGTGCGGTCAGCGTCAAACTCATATCAGGGCCTGCAAGGCTGTAGAAATACTTCACGCATTGCGCCAACCAGTGCTGTCGGCGTCGAGCGCATATTAACGCCTACAAGATTGCATGAATACTTCTCGCAATGCACCAAACGCAATGCAAGTGCTACTAAGTATTCGACTACGGGTATGGGCACACTACTCTCCTTAAACCTATCACTCCTTGAACCTACATTATGCCGATGCGCATGGTTGTAATTTCTCAAAACGAAAGTAAGCTTCTTGAATATTGCTGGCGATTGCTAAGTGCCTGCCATACATGCTTATTTTAGGTCGTTGCGTTGGTCAGAGGTGCTGTATAAATAAAATACCGCTCTAAATCTAACAATTCATGCTGGAAGATGCTTAAATTCACTTTGAATAAACCAAAAATTAAAAAAAAAGACTGCGATGCGGAAAATGCCGAGAAACAAAATTTGATCATAAAATCGCGTGGCTTTTAGCACAGGGAAAATATATCTTTTATGGGTTTTGACAAAAAAAAAAAAAAAAAAAAAAAAAAAAAAAAAAAAAAAAAATCAGGTCTAAACTCATTGGATAAAATTGAGGCCAAATTCCTCTGGAAAAAGTTTAAATTGGTGTTGTGAGATCCAGCGATTGAGTTTTGAATTTTTTTACGTAATTTGGACGGGGGAGGGGGGACTCTGCTTTATATTATAAGCAATGTGTAAATAGACTTTCCAAATAATATTGCGAGACAAATGTAAACACCGATCCCCATAATAATTTTGCATTGTTTCTCGTTAATCTCATAGTATAAAATACTGAAAGCACGTCCAACTAAAATATTGCAGACCAGCGATAGAGATCTCATCTTAATTTTTCGATCAATTACTGGCGTGTTACGGAACGATTTAAATCATGCGTATTTTTGAAATGAATTTTCAAAATCATTTAATTCCTAGTATAGCCGCACTCGGCGTAAACGTATGAAATCAATGGTGTAACAAAAAACTTGATAAAAGTTGCAAAACGGGCTGAAAGTGAATCGGCATGTAGCATTTTTTCAAAGAAAAATATAACAAAATTCAGCTCGGGTTCGGTTTTTTCCATCTTCATTCACGAATGATTCACGTAATATTCTCGAAATCTGATTATTTACGACTGTCTCGCAAGTATTCCTCCGCACAACATACAAACTCGTAAAAATGACCAGTCTTAAAAACATTTTTTACGAACTATTTTACGAGCTGTGCTACCAAGGACCACCATCAATGCACCTTGAATACGTTAACCTTCCCGCCCGTCGCGCTGGTGGTATCACATCGAAACGAAGGAGCACCGTCGAAAGACGGAATTACCGCTGACGCAGAGACGCCGAGCTGTTAGTTCTAGGTTTTCGATGCGATAAATAGGAGTCACGAGGGTTGTTTTAAATCGAAATAAATCTCGGGGCACATGACCTCGGGGATGGAGATCTGAGAGGGGAAGGTTGCACGTTTCGATGGTGTCAAGAAAGGAGAAAGGGTGGAGGGCAGCGGGATTGGTGTCGACAAAGGGGGACCTGTTGCGCATGCAGAATAGATAGGCAAAGGCGAGCATCGAAAAAGCCTCGACACTTCTAAGAGGCTCAACGCTCCACCCTTGCCTAGCGGCGAATCTTTTTTTAAGCGTTTTTCCCCCGCTCTTGTATACAAATCCTCGAGAAGAAGATGACAAGGACACGGATAATTAGGTGCAACATCGCCCACACCAAGAAAACTGTTTCTGTTACATGTGTCGCGACAAGAATTCTCATTAAATTAACCGGGAACCCCTATAAAGTAACCGTTACTACCCCTTTACCCTCCTCCACATCCCCCTTCTGCCCCTTTAATTCTATAATGTAGCTTTGTTAAAATAATAGAAATACAGCTCAAAACGTTGCGATTTGTTGATGTTTAAAAGAGAACACCTTATCGTGGCAAATCGAACAGGAATTCCTGTTGATCTGACAAGGATTTTTCCTCGCTTCCGCCTAGAATTTAGACCGCGTTCAGCAGAAAGCAATCAAGCCACATCAGCTATCGTCTTTAACTGGGCAACTTAAAGTTATACATGAGAACGGGTTTGCGGATTTGTGTGCAAATTTTAGTGAATTTTCTGCATCGTGCGAAGCAAATCCCTTAAAATTTTCAAGGAATCCGCATAAACGTCCTCTTGGGAAAAATTCAATCGCCCGGTTGAATCGGGCAATAACTGATAAAACTTGGTTCCCTTTCGCTAAAAGCAGTCCATTTTAACGAGAATACTGAGATCTCATCAGAACTTTCAAATTGTCGACAATAAAATATACAAAAACACGGATTCTACTTGCGGTGTTTCAACATTCTCTAAAAACTTAAAGAAAAAACAGAGGAAAAATAAGCTCTTCACACCAACAAAACAGATTATAGTAAAGTAATTGAAGTTCTTACCTATGACCTCCATATTGCCCGTTCGAGTCCCATTGATCTGCATCGGGCCCCCGCTGTCTCCCTGCAAACGATCGAAATATAGACACGTAATTAATTTTCATCTTCGAAATATTTCAAAGGAAAGAGCTTATCAAGTACGTTACGTCTTGCATTATTATTTTAAGTACATTGATTTTGCCAATGGGGAAATAATTGAAGTAAATTTAAACAAAAATACATATTAACTTGGAGAAGGGAAAATCTGAAGATGGTAAAAAAACAATCAATGAATGGTGACTTTATACATAAGTATGTATTGATAAACAGAAAAAAATCAACAGGAGGATTTGGGGAAAAAGAACATTCTTTAGCCTATATTTTTCTGTTTACTTCAGAGCAAATCTTTTCCAAAAATGAAGTCTTTTCTTCGGCCTCTTATTCTTAATTAAAAAAAAAATAAGCGCGCATTGACATTGAATAATATTAGTTATTTTTCTTTAAGTTGAAGAGAGCTCTATTTGAAATGGAAAAGGAAATCATTCCACTCAAAAAATTCCTATCATTAAAAAAAGTAAAAAAAAAAAGTAAAAAAAAAAAAATTCTCCCATACACCGGCGCCGGCGCTTTCTACCCTATTAGTGGCTTGCTCTGAAAGTTCAAATACCCTTTAGAATATCGAAGACAGTTCTTTCCTTCATTTAAGACATGATGTTTCTTCACATTTTTTCCACGGAGAGATGGCGGATAAGTAGGTGAAAAGAAAAGAAAATTATCAACCAAATCATTAAAAACTCAGCTCATGATCAGAATAAGCCCTTCATGAGGGTACGCAGAATTCATTCCTACTTTAATTCGGTGGACTTTGTTTGGCTTTGCACTGATTTCAACGTGAACTATAACCAACTAGGAGCAAAACGCAATTTATTTGAGCACATGAAGAATATCTGAGCTGAGGCGATTGAAAGGAGAATTCATAATGAGGTAATCACGTCAAGAGCTCGTTTTACATTTTTAATTAACTCCTGAAGGATTTCTCGACTGGCGGTGGCTCAGTGGATCCGGGGCAAAATAGACCGGGAATAAAACTTCAGGTCATGATTTTTGAACAAATCGATTACTTAAATCTAAAACTACTTAGCTAAAATGCAGGTTTTAAAATCTCCGCGCGAATATTTTTTTTTTCCCCCCAAGAGAAAAACATTGATCCGCAATAAGGCTTAACATTTTTATAGCACGACAATGTAAAATAGTCAGGAAAAACTAGTGAAAGTTTCAAGTCTTTATGTAGATGGGTGAAAATTTTAAAAAATGAAGGACCTGTGGATATTTGAAACGTTTAATGCGGATATGTAGTTTTGGATTTCAGTCATCCATGTGTTTTCAAAGGGATTATGTTCAATTTCGGGGGAACCGAGATCTATTTCTACAGCTTACATACTTATTTAGAGAGAAATTTAAAAAAATTAACTTGGTGGTCCATTTGTACACCGTGGTATTTTTACCATGTGGAGTTATAATATTATTTGTGGTATTTTTAGCAGCAAGTAATGATTCTACAAAAGTATCGGTAGTATCTTTTAATAGTAAAAATACCACTATTACTGGTCACATACTATATTCTCAATTTTGTTTCCAAATGTACAAATTTGCTACCACTGTGAGCTAACTGATCGTCCTACGGAAGCCCATCGATCTACGGTAAGCGATTTTTGATTTTTCCTACTTCTGAGAGCCAGATGCCCGCGTCTTGTGTGCGTGCAAACTTAATTAAAAATCGCCGAAGATGAGGATAGAAGGGCTCGCAAAGTAAATACTAATGGAAAGGAAACGATTACGATTTGCTGAGATTGCCAATCAGATGAAAGGTTCTCAACTCGCTCAATTATTACCTCTTGTACACTCATTTTCTTTTGATTTGCCGGAATCAAAGGGATTAATTACTTTTTGTGCGGTGGTGTTATCTGTTCTGCAGACGTGTTATCGGGTCTTTGAAAGATTCTTCTCGAAGAGAAAAAATATCGGGTATTGGATCAAAGGTAATAATGGTAAGCATACAATACGCCGATGAAATGAAGTTCACCCTTGAAAAATATGTTATCAATTTTCATAATTTTATTGTTTGATCCAGACCCGTGGATATCTGAACACCCAAAACTATTTGTAACTCTTATATGTGATATGACAGAGTCAGGCAAAATACTTCTTAGAGTGAAAAAAAAACATCAACACGAGATAACTATACCACAGCTTGGAGGAGTTCATTTTGTATCATGTGGACACAAAATGTCCAAAAATTGACCATTTTCAAATATATCAAAAGTATCAGAGAAAAATCGATCGGAAATTTTAGAGCAACGCGAATCAAAGTTAAGCAGCGCTGTTGTGATCTTTGAAAACAATTCGTTGCGATCATTTTTTAAAATAATTTTGCAATGAGTATTATCAATTTACTAATTAATGCAAATTATAACTTAAAGTCTTCATCCGATTGATTTAATTAAGGTTAAGAAAGCATTGAGCGCTGGAAATCGAAAATCTCTGTTTTTAACTAAAATATTTTTTTCTCTCTTTTTTGCTGCACTGAATAGTTTGAATTTCCATACTAGGGATCATTTCCTCTCAGTCAATCACAATTTTTTTCTTAATTTTCTTTTTGTAAGTAATAATGTCAGTGATTGAGACAGCACCTTTAATTAGTCGAGTTAAGACTAAGAGAGAAACCGAACACAGAATTTGGCCTGGAACGGCGCGGCGCAGAGAGCAATGATGACGAGAACTTGAGATGAAAAGGAGAAACCGTTTGTCGCGGGGGTCGGCATGTAAGACATATCAGCGCCTACAAGACTGCATGAATACTTCACGCATTGCGTCAAAGACAGCGCGATCGCTGCGGTCAGCACTAGGCGGCGTGAAACGCATAGCGCCTACAAGACTGCATGAATACTTCACGCATTGCGCCAAATACAGTGCGTGCGATTGAGGCCTACCTGGCAAGAGTCTCGCTTGCCCTCCTTGTATCCGGCGCAGATCATATTGTCGGTGATGCGGGATTCGCTGTATCCGGCACTTTTGCAGTCCGTCTCCGAAATTATGGGAACCTCGACCTTTCGCAACACCCTCGAGATGGGCTTCCTCTCGTCCACACGACCCCAGCCAGCTACAACTGCTGTCCTGCCTGTGTAGTTCACGCCATCTGTCGGAAAAAGTTTTACATACATTACAGAGTGATAAGGTGGATTCTGAAAAAGTTCCGTGCATTTTTACCGTTTAGTCCTACGACCTATTGTAAATTTCGTCGCTCCTCTGACGTAAGGGCGTATCTCGAATTGCACATGAGCCCCAGAAAGCATAGGTTTATATGGAGAACAGGGCTCAAGTGGAAATCGAGATACGCCCTTACGTTAGAGGAGCGACGATTTGAGCCATCTCACGAAGAGAGTGTGCAAAAAAATCATTTGAGGTGCGCTTGGAGGACAAGGCGCATAAGTGCATTGCTTGTTATTTCGAGAGATACGTGTGTTTGAAGTTGCGTAATTACAGAGATCCTTACAGCTGAGAGAGAGTTCAAACGGACTTTTTGATGCTTAAACATTGAATTTTGGGAGAGAATTTTTCACAGAATATGCTGAAAGACTAGTTTTACTTGAAATCATTAATATATCAGTTTTTTCAAAAACTGCGCTTCATGCGTTAGCTTGTTCATCGAGTGGAGATTTTGAAACACTGCTATCAAGCTACGCGTTTTTGCAGTTTTTCTGTCGATATGAAGTCGAAATGGAAAGGAGCAGTTTCAGGAACGACTATTAAGAATTCGACCCTAAAAAATCGAGCACGCTCGAATAACTCGAAATGATGCAATCCATATAAATTGTTTCGAAAGGTATAATCAAGGATTCTGTGCGGGGCTCTTGAAATATTTCTGCCGAGTCTGGCAGAAAAGACGTATCTCCAGTGGAGTCCAATGTTGCCGTGCTAAGGAAGAACGCCGTATGAACAGTCATGTGTTGCCAAATTTCCTTCGATAATATGTTCATTTTTGAGGAAAGTTGTGACTATTTTTCCGAAAAATGTTCAAGAACTTAGGGTAAAATTGCGAACAAAATTATCTGAAAAATAGAGATGTTGCATGTGTGAGGAATTTGCGATTTGACTGTTGATTCTTATGTAAAAGTTCGCGAGAAACACGATGGTGCCACTGGTTTTCTCTGAAATCAACTCCCAAGTTCAAAAAAAGCTCTCAAGTTGGAGCAAAAATGGAGGGGATATCCTACCCTACCCTGAGAGTCCACGTCTACATCAAGACAAACTCTCCATGCGCAAAGATAGGGAGCAAATACATTGACAGGGCTGCCACCTTATTTGGGGACTCTTCTGAAATCACGGCAACCATGTCAATGTATTTGCTCCCTATCTTTGCATGGAGAGTTTGTCTTGATGTAGAGGTGGACTCGCAGGATAGGGTGGGATATCCCCTCCATTTTGGTCTCAACTTGAGAGCTTTTTTTAAGCTTAGGAGTTGATTTCAGAGAAAACCAGTGGCACCATCGTGTTTCTCGCGAACTTTTACACAAGCAATAACAGTCAAATCGCAAATTCCTCACAAATGCAACACCTCCAATGCGAACAAAATTATCTGAAAAATTGGAAAAAAAATATCTACAAATTTTCCCAAAAACTCTTGATTTACCAACGGAAATTTGGCAACGCCTGAAGGTTCATACGGCGTTCTCCCTTAGCACGGCAGTATGCACATGTGCCTTTCTCGCCGAGCACGACAGACTTGGCGCCCATGCTCGTGACGCACGCTGAAACAGACTAGCGCGGGTCAGTCCTGTCAGTTCGGGAGAGGGATGCACTTCGGGTCGGGTTTGAAGCTCATGCAGGGCCGGGCGTGATGGCGGGGGTGAGAGAGGGGCGGTTGACGGTTATTGAAAAGGACGGAGACTCCATAAAATATCATTACCAATACGTGCAAACAGAGCTCAAGACCCATCCGAGCCTGGCGCGGCACGGCAGATGAAGCATGGATTTCCAGCCCCCTTGCCGTATCGCCAACGGAAAATCCACCTATTTTCATAGCTTTCGTCCAAGTTGAGCCAAATCGAACTTCGAAAATTTCTAATCGAGCAACCGTCACCTTCCGATCAAATTATCACAAGCGCCATGCGACGTTTCAAAATTTCCGCCGCCATTTTATTTTTTTACGGAGAAATTGTTCAACGAAGCTGTCCGGAAATTTCACGAAAAATTCTTTGAAAAAACTAATAAATGTATTAAAAAATAAGTCAAATACGTGCTTCACAGACAACGGGTCGGAAAATCCTCGTATTTTCACCGCTTTCACTCAAGCTGAGCCGAATCAAGCTCCAGAACCTCCTAATCGAGCAATCGTCACCTTCTAGTCAAATTAGCACAAGTGTCATGCGACGTTTCAAAATTTCGGCCGTCATTTTAATTTTTTAACAGAGAAATTGTTTAACGGAGCTGTCCAAAAATTTCACAAAATTTTCTTTGAAAAAATGAATAAATTTATGCAAAAATAAGTGAAATACGTGCTTTACAGACGACGGGTCGAAAAAAATTTTAATGATAAATCACTCTGGATAATTTGAATTTATAGGTTGGCTGCCTCTCTGAGCCCCAAAAGCTACACGACCCAACCCTCAAAATTACCGACATGCCTGTACTCACTCTCCCCATATAGGTGCTCTACCTCACGTTTGCCACGATCCCATGATCGCAATATCGGTATATCTCTGCTTTCTCCGCACAGTGGAACGAGCTAATTGAAGAGGTCCGACATGAAATTTTTGGCTGAAGTTTCAAATTTTGCTGTATATTTCGTTATGAAGTCAATTTCGATGGGTGTTTTGGTAAGGAAATTTCATGAAAAATCTGATGGCGCCACTCTTAAACTTTCTTGCGCCGATAACGTAAGCTTTCAAAGTTGCCAGATTTCGTCCGACTTCCTCTATCTGCTCGGTCCATTGTGCTCCGGGACACCCTGTATAAGATACTCCAAATTTTGGCTAAAATACCAAATTTTGACGTATATTTAGTTACAAATTCAATTTTAAGGGGTGTTTCGGAAAGGAAATTTCATGAAAAACCCAATGGCGCCACTCTCAAACTTTCTTGCGCCGATAATATCAGCTTTCAAAATTGTCAGATTGGTACTCCAATTCTTGGCTAAAATTTCAAATTTTGATGTATATATCGTTACTTATTCAATTTCAAGGGGTGCTTCTGAGGGGAGATTCCACGAAAAACCCGATGGCGCCATTCTTAGACTTTCTCGCGTCGATTATATAAGCTTTCAAAGTTGCCAGATTTTGTCGGACTCCCTCTATTATGGACTCGGTCCAATGTGCTCCGAAACACCCTGTATACGACACCCCAATTTGGAGATCTCGTAAATCGATGAATATCGGAACGAGCGTGGAACCGATCGAAGCGGCGGATACACACGACGCGACTCCGGTTCAGAGTGCAAGCGACGAGAGGGCCTCCGGGGCAGAGAAGCGGGGGCGGGGGCGAAGGGGGGGGGCTCAATTTTGGAATCGCTGAAGCATGGACGCGAGTCGGAGTCGCTGCGTGAATATATCCATTTAATTAACATCTGTAACGCGACTAACGCGTGCTGCTCGCCTTTCATCCGGGGCCCGAGCGCCCGGGCATGCGACGTCGAACCGGCTCATATTGCTCGTGCCAATATTGCGTCTGCTCGCCCCCCCCCCCCCCCCCCNGGGCCCACTCGCACTCCCGACGAGCGCGCGGATTAATGTTAAGTGGTGATTTGACACCGATTTAGGGATTCGGAGCCTCGGATTTGGGTTTCGGGGAATGCGGGGTCTGGACCATGCGTGCGGCGCCTTGCCGGGGGCGTTATTTCGGGGAAGCGCCCCCCGCGGCTTTGAGAGATAATTTTCTTTGGCATTGGTCATTTTGGGTGGGTTCAGGGATGACTGCTAAAAGGGACGCTAGGAAAAAGGATTGATAGGAATCACAGTCAACTCTGCTTAATCGGGAGGCATCCATCCCGGGTAATTTTGTTTCGATAAATCAAAGTTTTCCATGTAAACATCGAAAACAGCGAAAAAATGGGATTAGACAAGCATTGATGTAGGAACGTCCTTAACTTCTGCTTGGATGAAGAGTCTTTTGAGGCATTCTATGTAACGTCACCTTCCAACCAAAGTATCACAAGCGCCGTGCGACGTTTAAAAATTTCCACATTTTTTAAAAAAGAAATTGTTCAACGAAGCACGGAATTCTATTCGTGCTGCAGATAAAATTCAGTAAAATTTTCAAATAGATTTAACTCACAATTTCTCTGTAAAAAAATAAAATGGCAGCGGAAATTTTGAAACATCGCACGGGGATTGTGATACTTTGGCCGGAAGGCGACGGTATTATCTTTTGCATCAGCTAATGAGACATGAGGAGACGATGGTTTGTTGTCACCAGAATCTTCGTGTTTTGAATTTTCGGAGTGTCCAAGTTCTACTTGCGCATCTTTAAGTGATTTTGAAGTCATTTTGAGTGTTCCTCTGAAAGAAATTGTCTCGATAAACGGGAGTTCTGTCTTAATAAAACGCAGTCTCAGTGTGCATTGCTAATTTGTAAAAGATTCGGTACGTTCCAAGCGATTTTGTCCCAATAAAGCGTGGTTTTCCCGATTAACCAGTACCCACTTAAGGTGAGTTGACCTAGGCTACATTGCCTCATTGTGACCTGAGCCTTGAGATCTCTAAGAACACACCTGAATGACACAGTCCATATCACAATGGAGATAATTCTTTTTGATTTAAAGGCCACGTACTGCTTCCTTCAAAAGAGCCGTCCGATTAAATTATGTCTACATGGTACCTTGAGGGAGATGGGAGAGGCTGAGTTTATACGTCACGCGCTGTGTTTTGCGGTCTCTTTAATGGGATTCTTTTTACATATTCCGGATTTTTGCATGCTCTTTTCTAAGTTTTAACTACATTCCATTCGTTAGTATCCACACAAGAAATCGAGAAGTTGTCCTGAAGTTACATAGAGTGGTATTTTGCGATATCTGAAAGAGGATTCAGATTTTGCATTTTACCTTATCTTCTCTATTCGTCATATCAAAAACCAAATAGGTATTAAGAACTATTATCATACCTATAACAAAACTAACAAAGAGACCTACAGCCCAAGAATTGTGCCTGGTAGAAATACGCGCGTTGACGTGGATTTTTATTATCCGAGTAAAATTTCCTTCAAATACGTGTGATGCAACCAGCATAGCTCACGGCCACACTTCTGCCTGAGGAGAGGGCTTTCACGACTTCGCGTCGCGTCGTGCAGCACCGACGCATTAAATCAAAAGACACTGTCTCCATTTTGACTTGGGTCTTGACATGCATGTATTTTTATGAGTCTAAGGGCCCAGTTTTCAGTGAAGATAGTACTTTTCCATTAAAATACTGACACGCGCTTTCGAAATAGATAACATATCGATGGTGAAACTATCATACCATGTATCTCGTTTTCGGTGTTTAAAAATCTCCGATCCCATTTTATTTTTGCGAAAGAGAACAAACTAATATCATTCCTTGAAGTTTTCACAGAATTTTCACAAAAATTACCAGAAATGCGGTAAAATTACTGGACTCAATGAAAATACCGCCATGAAATTCCTTATAATCGGTAGCTGCTGTGCCTCCTTGTACTTTTACAGACTTTTCCTTCCACGGAAGGTGGTAAAACGACAAAATCTATAGTAAAATTACCGATAACGTATGGATAAAAATTCATGAAGCAAAAGTAAAATTACCAAGAGCACAATATACGATTCCCGGTAATTGTCGAGTATCGGCATAACTACCAGAAAAATAGGTGGGGTTAATTTCTCATTGCAAAAGGTCTCCAACTCGGAACTAACCCAGAAAAGATATCAGAGGAATATTTAGAACTCGGGACTTTTTTGCAGGATGGTTAGCCTGGCGCACAGTGGATTGAGTCTTTGGAAGAAATCAGACATGAAATGTTCGACAAAACCTGAAAAATTTTACGTTCATCTCGTCACATTTTTAATTTCAAGGAGTGCTTCTTACAGAAAATTTTACGAGAAAACCAATGAAACTACTTTTAAAACATCAACATTTCATATTAATGAAGATATTCGCTTTTTAAGTTTTTAAATCATGTCCGACCTCTCTGATAGATCGTATTCGATACATCAAACGGGTGAGATTACATCGATATTGATTGGTTCAAGACAAAAACATAGCCTCAAAAGTCAATTGAGTAATCTGACGGAACGGGTTTTTTGTGATAGATTTTTGATTCGTATGAGTACTAATGGGCCAAGAGTAGCGCAATTGCTATGGAATTTCTCATTTTCAGATTTCCGACAAATATCCTAAAATTTTGGTTTGAGGTTATGTTCTATTGTTTTGAACCAAACGATACATCGAACCGCTATCCAATACGATCCATTGACTCTTTCTACTGTGTGGAGCTCTGCGAAAATATTCGCACTATTCAAGTGAAGATCGGGACGGGAGAGATGTCGAGTCAGGAATTCAATTCGCAAAATAATATTCGAATGACATCAGAGAAAACTGCGAGATCCCGGCGTTTAAGATTCAATGTGAAGTTGGCCGGGAGGGCGGGATTTTATTATTCGGCGGAGAGAAGCGAGAGGTCAACGAAGCTGCTCGGCTTAATTATTATTCGCGATAAGCGCCGGCCCGGGCGAAATGTAAAGCAGAGGGCTATTAACATAATGTCTTGGGCAAACTTTCCCGGGATGGCTGCACTTTTTAACTTCCTCCCAACAAAAACAACCTTCAAACGGCGATACGGAGCCATTTATTGTTTCGAATCATTGCGAGTTCGTTAAAAGTTGGTTTTCGGATGTTTGTCGTAACACCGAAGAACGTGCCGAAAAAGCTCGTCTATCCCTCTCTTGATTAGATCCATAGCGCGGGAAACTCCAGAGACTTGGTGGAAAATTTACCGTCTCGAGACGAAAGGTTTGTAATTTTGGGAGATGGGAGGCGAATCGTAATTTTATAGGATTTTCGAGAAAATTTTGTGATGTTCGTTAAATGTGTATCCAGAAATTTAATCGAGAATGAAATCAGGACTGTTGAACCAATCTGGGCTTAGGAAGTTAAACATTTTGACTGAAAATAACTATCTTAACTAATCATCCTCTTAAGTCCTTGGGGCCATTCATAAAGTATAACGCTCTAGGGAGGTGTTGAGGGGGAGGGGGTCGAGGAAACCATTACGCTATTTTGTGCACATTTACCAATAACTAGCAATCAATTTTAAATTTTTGGAAGTTAACGTCACTTTTTAAAGATCAATACACTTCTTTGGATTAAATTTTGCAATAAGGAACCACTATTTCTAGCCCGTTTTAGAAACAACATACATGCCATTGGTTTCCCTATGCAGATATGTGCTTTAATGAAAAAGCCAGAGATAGTGGTTCCTTATTGCAAAATGTAACCCATATCATGTTTCTAAACGAAGCCGCAAATGCGACGGCCTCTCATTTCAAAATGGACCGCGTTTCGCAGAAAGGAACCGAGCCACATCAACTCCTGCCAAATTTAACTGAAAAATTTCATTTCATTTGTGGCGGATTCCTTTGCAAATTTTAAGGAATTTGCTTTGTATACAATGCAGAAAATTCACTCTAATTCGCACAAAAATCCACACAAACATTTTTATGTGAAAAATTTAGCAATAGCTGATGAGGCTTGGTTCCTTCCTGCTTATAAACGCGGTCAAAATGTAGTCCCGTTGTATATTCCTCTAGAGGTCTCACCTTCAGCCGGTAGACATGCGGTTCGCACGTGGGGCCCGGCTATGTCGACCGTTGATTCCAGCTCCAGGACGGCGATGTCGTTGTTGAAATTGGAAATTTGGAATTCAGGATGCCTGTACGTTTTCTTTACTTTCCGCACCACTGTCTCCGTTTCATTCACAATCTGCCTGTCGTGCTCTCCTAAAGTCACTTTGATCTCCTTTGCCTGGATCCTGAAATCAATCGTATCACTTTTGTCTTAGTATTCAGCAAAACGGAAATAAGATACATGTATTCAATACCAGATGCACAATTAATTTGTTAATAATTTAACTTGGAGAGTTACTAGGATATACGCCCCCTATGGCCTCTGCGCGGCCCAACTGCTGTTGTCAACTTGCTTATCTCCGCCAATCAGTACGGAACCCTGGTAAAAATTGGCAGTAGAATCTGTGTTCCAAGATACCATAGACCTACAGCCGGCTGTAAGATTTCCAATAGCCTCTATAGCCGGCTACACAATTTCTTATAGCCTTTTATAGCCGATGGCGATTAAGAAACAGCCAGGCGATAAAGTGTATGCTAAACGTTACTTATTACGGATGCTAGGACTTATTGAGTTTTTGGACTGACGCTCTCTTTTTGGGCCGTAGTATCTTGATTTATTTTGCGAGGAAAGCTCCGTACTTTTGATGGATGCCTGCCATTCCTGACATATTAGAGCGCCTTTAGTTTCGTATGATACTGTGCAATACCTCCGGTGTGAAATAGTTGCTTCAATCGCTGTGGCACGCTGCGGCGCGGCAGGCGGGCAGGCAGCCGGCGCGAAACCCGCACTGGCGCCTACAAACCTAACAGGGATACTTCACGCGTTGCGCAATGCGTGAAGTAGCCCAGTTAGGTTTGTAGGCGCCATTGCGTCGCCGCTCCATTCTTATTTTAATTGATGAAAACAAATATGTATTAAAGGAAATTATAATGTGTGTAAGGTGGTTCCGTATCAAACTTATTGATTTCCAAGGCACACGAATTTCTACACAATTTCTTATAGCCTTTTATAATCGATGGCGAAAAAGCAACAGCCAGGCGATAAAGTGTAAAGCCCGGCGATAGGAACTATAGCCCGGCTGCATAATTTTTCATCGCTTCGTATATTCCGGCCGTATGATTTTCTCCACATTATACAGCCAGCTATATGATTTTCTGTAGCCTTTTTTAGCCGGCTATAAGAATTCCTATGGTATTTTGAAACGCAGCTCTTATCGCCAATTTTTACCAGGGAAAGAGCCTCGCCAAGTTTAGCCCCTTTTTTTGTATACCCGAGTTGGTCAACGGGACAAGGCTCAAACGAAAGCTTATGGTAAGGCAAACTTCCATGCAAAGTTTCGACTTTAAGTGAAACCTCGTTTAGGCTGTATAGAGTTGCCAATCTCCATTTTTATGTGCAAAAATTGAGGAATACTGGATCATCATGGTTCAACAGACTAGTACACCCGAGTTGGTCAACGGGACAAGGCTCAAACGAAAGCTTACGGTAAGGCAAACTTCCAACACCAAAAAACGCCACTTTTTGGCGAGGCTCTTTAACAATCACGAAATCACTGTTAAGCGGTACAGGGAAAATCAACGGAATCATATTAAAAGAGCGTCGCGTAAATCTGAAAACTGGACGCAGCGCTTGGCCCGGGTTGAAATTGCAAAAAACGCGGGCTTGGCGTTCAATTTACAATCGGTGCGGCGGAATGGCGGACGCGATCTAAATCGAAATTGACACTTCGCCGTGGCCGTGCTGCCGTTGCCGCGACCCGGAATAATGATATTATGACGTTTTAAGCAGAGCCAGCACTTTGTTATGACGCCCAGCGCCACCTCCCCGGTCCGCGTTGCATCCCCCGGCCGAAGCGATGGCCCTCCTTGCCCGATTGGGAATTCAACTCAGCTAAGTCGCGACTTGTCGTTTTCGTGTCCGCCCCGACGTCTTCGGCACCCCAGATTGCTAGCTTGTCGTGAAAATCAGCATTTTTTCCGTCCGAGAACTGCGGATAACGCTCGGTATTTAATGGACGGCGTTAGGTAAACTCGTCACACTACACTAGTAAAAAAAAACCTCTTGGACCAATGCCGCATTGCATTGACTTAAGAGTGCAGTTTCTTGCCGCCGGATTTAAGAGTCTTGAACTCTTGTTTCAAGCGGATTTTGCATTGATTCAAGCGGATTTTGCATTGAAACAAGAGTCCAGACTCTTAAATCCGGGGACAAGAAACTGCACTCTTGAACCAAGAGGGTTTTTTTTTACCAGTGCATGTTTAGAGTACCTATACTGCCGTGCTAAGAAAAAACGCCGTATGAGCCTTCAAGCGTTGCCATATTTCCTTCAATAAAACCCGAATTTCCTGAGAAAATTGTGAACATTTTTCGTCAACTTTTCCAGAAAATATGGTTCAAAATTTAATATAAAATATCTGAAAATTATAAGAAAAAATATGCATAAAGTTCCTTAAAATCACATGTTTTATTTGAGGAAATTTGACAACTTTTGAATGTTCATACGGTGTTTTTCCTTAGCACGGCAATATATGCGGGAGAGTATTGCCATGTCTTTGCCGCTCTCTGATTGGTTCATCAGTTTTAGGCTGTCATGGAGCTCCAAAGTTGGCCCAATGTAAACAAACCAGACGCAGAGGAACAAGTATCATCGGCTAAGAAATGAATTATAATTACACTCAGTGCTTAATTTTCGGCAGAAATATCCATTGAAGTTCGATCCGAACTCAATTCAGAAGTTGGACCTAAAAAAATGTGTATCACATCCAAAATCACATCTGGATCTTTGCAGAACTTTGTCGCCATCTTGTTTGTTTACATTCGGCCAAACTTGGGGCTCCATGATAGCCGACCAATCAGAGAACGGCGTACTTTTTCTGTAGTAAAAGGATTGAGATGGCAATACTCTCCCGTATACAGGTTTATTTATATTATATTTATATTATTTTATATTACAGGTATTACTCTCAATAAAGATATTCTGATGGATGATCTCATGTGTCTATGTTTGCACCCATAGACTAGTTTTATTTGGTTTGTTGCAAACTACAGTTAGAGCAAAAAGAAGCTCTGTTTCTTTTAGAAATGGCGCAAAAAACACGATAAGCATCGAACTAAGAAAAACTAAGAAGACTCACCCTTCAATACAATGCGCAGCAGTAAGAATGTGACGATTGGTGATGAGGGTACCACCACAGTAGAACTTTCCGCGACGACTCAGAGCTGCAATCCAAGGGAACTCGTTCACCCGAGTCACATTTCCTCCAACGATTCGCATTCGTCTGTTTATTGCACCACAAACTAGAATAAACGAAAATAAAGAGATAAAAATCAGAATAGAGGGTAGAAAAGAAAATTTGCGTTTCCTATTAAAACAAAAATACACGAGTCCTTGCATTATTGACAAATTTTATTCAAATTTTGGTTAGCACTCGCCAAAAACAGCCTAACTGCATTTCTTTTTCATCCGGACAAAAAAATCACAAGTGCTTAAATGTTATCTTTACAGGGGATACAATTAAATACTTTGCGATGACTGGAAATGTTACTCCGCGCTTGGAATTTAACCCGCGTGGGCGCGAAAAAGATATGTAGTAATAATAATAATTCACAATTTTAAGTTCGGCCTGGACTGTAACTAATGGACACAAATTATATTTTTACTAATAGTAATTCATCACAATTTTAGTGGGAAAAAAATAATTTTTTAAATACTTCAGATAGAAGATGATACAAAAGATAATGATGATGCAGCTGAAGGACCCATGATTGATCTATAATGTTTTCAATACATGTTTATTTAAAGTGCTATTTTCAAAAATGCATCAACGCATCCCAAAGCACTTGTAACAGAGCGCTTTTGGAACCATAACTGACTTACTCCAGGAATGAAAAATCACAATCACTCATTTTCGAGTTGCGTTAATACAAACATGCACGAGGTAGGCAATCGGCCGACGCGACGGTCCTCTGAATTTTTCATAAGATCACCAGGGCCCTGAGAAGGGTCATGTGAATATCACTCACTCCCATTTTAAACAGGACAGTGTCATAGATTAATTGTGTCAACAAATAAATGCGCAGTGGCCCGCATTTCTTGGTGACTTGATATCCCACTCGCTAGATTATATAAGCAATGCAGTTGGAGTTATTAATTTCAGCTCCAGCACTATTCTAACCAATATGTTTTTTTACAATTGGATCGCGTCAATCAGCTTTAGAACCAGATTGATGCAGTAGACTGATGAGCAGAATTTAAGGAGTGATAAACAGAAGTTAGGGAGTAATTAATTTTGTGCTCATGTATTCAGGAGAAGTGGCCGTGCATGATGGGATAATATTTTGAAAATTTTGGGAGAATAATCTGATAAAAATGAATATTTAATTTTTATCAAGATACAGTTGACATCATTGAGGTATGTTTAACTAAAATTAGACCAGTTGAATCAAACTAGCCTAAATTCCTCTTAAAAGTTTCATTTTTCACCATGAACTGAGGAGCATGTCACTGACTGAATTTTGTGAGGCTCTATTGAAATAATGAGAAAATTCACAGAGAGTTTCAAGGTGTTATGTTGTTGATATATATGTTGATAAAATGAAACATGAGAGGAAATTACGCAACGTGGAGTGCGTTTTTAATTGCAAAGTTTGTTAGATCTGCTCAATTGATATACTGGGCTGAAAATATCAATAAACTGAGTTCTAGTTGCCACTATTCTTCTCTGAGGTCGTCCTACCCTACAAATCTGGGCAAGCCTTTCCCCGTCCATCCTCTCAACATGTTCCGACCACATTTTCCGGCGCATCTTGGTCAATCTTGGTCTTGGCTAAGAGGTCAAGAAGCATATCGACGGTGCAAGTCGGCAATCACATAACTCGGTTTGCGACGTCGCAGACTTCCTGTTATACATACATAAAGTCGCTTTTATAGCGCCGCCTCGCGCTCTGCGACGCCCAATCGCCATCGCCCCCTATCCTCCCAGAGATCATCAGGCAATTGGCACCTTCTGATCTCCTCCTCCACCCCTTGTCGCCAACCTTTCACAGGACGGCCACGCCGTCATACTTCCGTAGACTTCCTGTCATACTTTATTTTTTGAACGGAAAACTACTCAAGGGCAATTATTTAAAACTGCCGTGATTTTTCTTCTCTGTGCGAAGAAAATTCTGCATAAATTTCGAAGAATGATGTGAATTTGTTCTCTTTTAAAAAATTATATAGAGGCGGAGATTTTCAGACACCGCAAACGAGTTATGTGATTGCCGACTTACATCGTCAATATGTACTTTGGAAACTTACCACAATTGCAGGAGGACGAATCAGGTGAGGGAGCTGTCTCCAGCTCGTTGGGGATCTCCTCTAGGGCGGCGGCGGTGGGTGGGGATCCGTCGACGACGTTGACGTCCACGTTCTCGAGGGGGCTGACGCTGACGGAGGGCTGGACGCCGGGGCCGGGTTCGCCCTCTTCGGTCACGACGCTCGTCTGCGTGCTGTTGTTGGCGTAGTCCAGCACCAGGCTGATCAGCGTCACCCCGTGCCCCAGCTTCTGGAAGAGGCCCCCTCGATCCGCCCCCACCCCCGCCCCCACCCCCTTGACACCCCCCTCCGCCTCACCCGCCGTCCGTGCCAACGATGACCACCCTCCGTCCTCCTCGATGTGGGCCGCTCCGCTACGACTCAATCGGCCTTCGCCCTGAAACAGAAAACACATTTCCGTTAACTTGACGAAGAGAAGTCAAGCATATTGTCGTGTTCTGGACCAAAGAACGTAACTCGATTCCGAGGCTGCCAAATTTCTTTATATATTGCAAAAATTTCGACCATAATTAGGCTGAATTTGCTTGCAATTTGGCAAATAGTACTTTGACTTTTTATTAAAAAAAAAAAACAAAAAAAAACAAAAAAAAACACCTGAACAGTTTTAGAGTAAAAACATGGAAACCGAGAGTAAATTTTATGACATAAATATTAAGTTACGTTCTTTTGTCTAAATAATGAAAATATAGGGCCGAATGAACACCAAGGCACATTAAGCCCTAATTGAGATAAAAGCAAGATAAATTTAAAAAAAAACACACAAAAAAATTTGAAGATTTCAGACTTTTTTGACGTAAAAACGTGATTTTCGAGCGAATCTTCCCTTAAAAATGCACACAGTTTGCTGTATCTCTTGTGTGCAACAGACCCATTTTCAAGAATGAACCAAAACTGGAAAAAATTTATTCACTCAGAGTTATTTTCAGAATTGTATAATTTGACTCCTTCCATACTGACTGTGTTCTACAAAAAATCTCTGAAACCACACCGCCAAAATTTCATGATCGGAAGAGTTTACGTCCATTTTTTCTTGATCAGGTTTGTTTACATTGGTCTCACAAGGAGCCTAATAAAAAATCATGAACTACTGAGCCGATCATAGAGCGGCACAGACATGAAATATACAGGCACTCTCCACTGAAAGGCTTAAGACGGCTATTTTCTCTCTAAACAGGCACTCTGTTTAACTCTGAGGACTCAAGAATTCTAGGTGTTAGCTGACCCGGCGTTTTCGAGGCCATCTTGCGGCCGCATGTAAACATGATGTATACGTGGGGCCCGGTGAATGCACGTGCCGTTCTGAAAGGGACTGCAAGTTGTAAGGTTGTTAGCGACTGCTTTGCATTTCGCCCCGGGCCGGAGCATGGCTTGGGCACTTCACCCCAAGAGCTTCCGTGCCAAGCTCCGAATGTTAGGCGCAGGGTTGTTAGTCCGTGAATTCAGACGGAAGAGCATTACTCCACCCCCAGTTGCCGATTCGGGCCCACTTTGAATTTCTGCACCGTTGTTTTGTGCACACTCACGGAAAAAGAAACAAAAATATGGTCGAACCAACGGTGTACACAATTAAATCAGTTAACACGTCTCTCATTCGGGGAACCCCTATTGTTTACAAATAATTGTGACCGTTCATGAAAAAAAGGGACCTTAGTTCGTGGAGGCAAAATTTTGTCACCTTCCGGGAAAATTATCACAAGCGCCATGCGACGTTTAAAAATTTCCGCTGCTATTTTAATTTTTACTGAGAAAATGTTCAAGGAAGCTGTCCGAAAATGTCTTTTTTATCGTCGAATGTCTGTCGAAAATTTACTTTGTGCTGCCGATAAAATTCGGTCAAATTTTCAAACAGATTCAACCAACAATTAGCCTGTACAAAAATAAAATGGCAGCGAGAACTTTGAAACGTCGCATGGCGCTTGTGATACTTTGGCCGGAAGGTGAAGATTTGTCGTCGGGTAGGGTTGAAAAGTTGGATTTTCAGATTGTTACGGACAGTGTCAGAGTCAGCCGGAGTTTAGAGGGTCGGAGCTCCCCTCTCACCATTGACTGGGAAATTGCCCCCAAAACACGTCATTTTGCGTGCTTTTCATGAATTTCATCCCGAAAGAGAGAGCAAGATCGCAGGCCCCTTTTAGGAATGAAGAATAGAATATAAAGAAACGATACTGGAGGGCCCTCGAGCGATAAGCCGCCTTCAATTACGGGCGTATGCAACATCATAGCCAGTACCAGTAACTCCCAAGTCTCTCGTCTAATGGCGTGTCACCAGCATTCAAGTGATTTAATGCATTCTGGACTACCTGAATTTTAACAGCCATTAATTAATAGGAGATCAATGTGTGATGTATTCAAAATCCAATGCGAGAATTGCGGAAGAGAGAAAATAAATAAAAACACAGAACAGCTGAACATCTGATGTAATGCTGATGGCGGGAATGCTGAGGAGCACGCGTTGTGCGTCAGACACGCCGAATCAAATGAAGGCGCCAGAACGAGATACGCATTTTTACAATCATTTAACTCGAAATACGCGAAAAATGCATTTCAAAATGCAAAATCATAATCTCTTAATCTCAGAATCGAAACACGCTCTTCTGCAGTCTCACCATCGATATGTACTTACTTAGTTGCTTCTTGAAATACGTCTAATTATGATGCGTGTTTATCATTGCCAGGAGGTGATTCTCTGCCTATGTAAACGGATTTCAGGCCACACAGCGGTTGTGAGTGGGATGGGGAGACTAGTTTATGCGTAAGTGTTGACGAATTCAAAGGGTTACTTTGACGTATTTCTGTCAAACGGAACCATGTGCATTAAGACATGAGCCCTGAGATCCATAAGAATATATGCATAACAGGGCTCACGTCATAATGCACATAGTTCCGTTTGACAGAAATACGTCCATTTACAGTCGTGGTCAACAGAATTGGCAACTCGCGAGCATTGCTTACAACGTTTACTACGTTACAGGATGCTTCAACCTGAGAGTAATTAAGTTTACCAGGAAATCCAAGACACGGGGAGGAAACCCTTTGCACCAACCTCTGGCCATGTCAATTCTCGTAACTTCCCTCCCGCCTCCCACCGTTCTTCAAAGATAGCGTATTAAAATGAAATCTTCATGTCACGGCGAAACCTCGATCTAGAGAGGTAATATAGTTATCTTAGGGTATGAATTTTCGCAAAAAATATAACAGAGCATCCGGTCAGTGGTGAAGAAATATAATATTCGTAAATTTTGAGAAGCCGCAATGGAGTCGTCTAGAATCAGTGGTTCTTTTCTTGGGATGTATATTTTTGTTTTTGATTGCGTTCTTTTATAATAATTAATTGATTCAAGGCGACTTAAGTGTGCGAATCATAAGGATCTCCTGAGAAAAAAACTGAATGATAGCCCATATGACAATTGCTACCGTATATCAGTACCCCTGGGTCAAAAGGTACCAATATAACTTCATATTTTAGTCATTCCGAGATATCAGATTCCGAGACTCCGAGATTCCGACGAATGATGTAAGGCTCGCTAACTTGAAATTTGGGTCTCTGATGACTTGCAATGAAAACACTTAGCGGTATTAATGAGGTCCTAAAGGCCTGAAAAGCGACGAAGGAGCCTCCGAGACCTAGTAAGTAAAATATGCAAGGATTTAAATTGAGCCTGGGAAAGAATAAAGAGATCATCCTCGGATCGTACCGAGATTTCTTTTCTTTTTGAGCCCTACAGGAATACGAGCGGGAAAGATGATACTTGATCATGGAAGCAACCAAAAATTGAGTTCCGGAAATACCTGATTTTCAAAAAATTTCCGCTGGAGGTAATCCGGATCCCTCTCTGCTTCTGGGTGAAAATCCCCAGAATGCCAGTCCACCCGTAATAGTTCATCAAAACATCATACACTGAAAAAAATAATCGGTGGGATTTACCAGAGTTTGGGTGTTATTTACCATACTGTCTACTTGATTTTTTACACAGTGAAGCTGCAGCATAGTTACCAATATACCGGTATGGTAAATAACACGATACGGCTGACACTATGCGACACAGTGCCAGTGTGGCGTTCCCGACTGACTAGTATGGTAATTTCAAGCATCCAGATGCTGCGACAAACCTTGTAGATTCTAAAATCCACTCATCTTATATTATTAAATGCTTTTGATGAAAGTCGTGGATATTTTACTTACATCTTACTTTTAGAAATTCCG